TGTGTGTGTGTGTGTGTGTGTGTGTGTGTGTGTGTGTGTGTGTGTCAGTGTCTTTGACTGTCTGTCAGTGTCTGTGTGACTGTGTGTCTTTGACTGTGTGCCTTTGACTGTGTCTGTGTGTGTGTCTTTGTGTCTTTGACTGTGTCTGTGTATGTGTGTGTGTGTGTGTGTGTCAGTGTCTTTGACTGTGTCTGTGTGTCTTTGTGTCTCTGTGTGTGTGTGTGTGTGTGTGAGTGTGTGTGTGTGTGTCAGTGTCTGTGTGTGTCAGTGTCTGTGTGTGTCAGTGTCTGTGTGTGTCAGTGTCTGTGTGTGTCAGTGTCTGTGTGTGTCAGTGTCTGTGTGTGTCAGTGTCTGTGTGTGTCAGTGTCTGTGTGTGTCAGTGTCTGTGTGTGTCAGTGTCTGTGTGTGTCAGTGTCTGTGTGTGTGTGTCTGTGTGTGTCAGTGTCTTTGACTGTGTGTGTGTGTGTGTGTGTGTGTGTCTGTCAGGATCTGTGTGTGTGTGTGTGTCTTTGACTGTCTGTGTGTGTGTCAGTGTCGTTGACTGTCTGTGTGTGTCAATGTCCGTGTGTGTGTCAGTGTCTGTGTGTGTGTGTGTGTGTGTGTGCGTGCGTGTCTGTCTGTCTGTGCGCGTGAGCGAGTGAGTGTCTGTGACTGCGTGTGTGTCTTTGACTGTGTCTGTCTGTGTCTGTGTGTCTTTGACTGTGTCTGTGTGTGTGTGTGTGTGTGTGTGTGTGTGTGTGTGTGTGTGTGTGTCTGTCTGTCTGTGTGTGTGTGTGTGTGTGTGTGTGTGTGTGTGTGTGTGTGTCTTTGACTGTCTGTGTGTGTGTCAGTCTGTGTGACTGTGTGTCTTTGTGTGTCTGTGTCTGTGTGTCAGTGTCTGTGTCTTTGACTGTCTTTGTGTGTGTGTCAGTGTCTGTGTGTGTGTCAGTGTCTGTGTCAGTGTCTGTGTGTCAGTGTCTGTGTCTGCGTGTGTGTCTTTGACTGTCTGCGTGTGTGTCTTTGAGTGTCTGTCTGTGTGTGTGTGTGTGTGTGTGTGTGTCAGTGTCTGTGGTGTGTGTGTCGGTGTCTGTGGTGTGTGTGTCAGTGTCTGTGGTGTGTGTGTCGGTGTCTGTGGTGTGTGTGTCAGTGTCTGTGGTGTGTGTGTCGGTGTCTGTGGTGTGTGTGTCAGTGTCTGTGGTGTGTGTGTCGGTGTCTGTGGTGTGTGTGTCAGTGTCTGTGGTGTGTGTGTCGGTGTCTGTGGTGTGTGTGTCAGTGTCTGTGGTGTGTGTGTCGGTGTCTGTGGTGTGTGTGTCAGTGTCTGTGGTGTGTGTGTCGGTGTCTGTGGTGTGTGTGTCAGTGTCTGTGGTGTGTGTGTCGGTGTCTGTGGTGTGTGTGTCAGTGTCTGTGGTGTGTGTGTCGGTGTCTGTGGTGTGTGTGTCAGTGTCTGTGGTGTGTGTGTCGGTGTCTGTGGTGTGTGTGTCAGTGTCTGTGGTGTGTGTGTCGGTGTCTGTGGTGTGTGTGTCAGTGTCTGTGGTGTGTGTGTCGGTGTCTGTGGTGTGTGTGTCAGTGTCTGTGGTGTGTGTGTCGGTGTCTGTGGTGTGTGTGTCAGTGTCTGTGGTGTGTGTGTCGGTGTCTGTGGTGTGTGTGTCAGTGTCTGTGGTGTGTGTGTCGGTGTCTGTGGTGTGTGTGTCAGTGTCTGTGGTGTGTGTGTCAGTGTCTGTGTGTGTGTGTGTGTCTTTGACTGTCTGCGTGTGTGTGTGTGTGTGTGTCAGTGTCTTTGACAGTGTCGGTGTGTTTGTGTGTCTGTGTGTGTGTGTCTGTGTGTCAGTGTCTGTGAGTGTCTGTGTCTTTGACTGTATCTGTGTGTGTGAGAGTGTGTCTCTGTGTGTATGTGTGCGTGCGTGCGTGTCTGTGTGTGTGTGTGTGTCTGTGTGCGTGAGCGAGTGAGTGTCTGTGACTGTGTGTGTGTGTGTGTGTGTGTGTGTGTGTGTGAGAGAGAGTGTGTGTGTGTCTGGGAGTGTGTGTGTGAGAACGTCAGAGCACGAGTGTTTCTCACTGTGTCTTTGACTGTCTTTGTGTGTGTGTCAGTGTCTGTGTCTCTGTGTGTGTGTGTGTGTGTGCATCTGTTTGTGCGCGAGTGCGTGTGTCTGTTTGAGTGTGTGTGTTTATCTTACAGCGTTGTTGAACAATTCGAGGGTGACGGCTTGAGCGGGGCTCCTGGTTTTGAGATACTGAGCGTAGATGGTGGCATAGAAGTTCACCAACTCACCGGACACCTGCAACACAATATAAACACATTAAAACCAGCTCTATTATACAGACACCTCTGTGTGTGTGTGTGTGTGTGTGTGTGTGTTTTACCCGGTCGCTCCACATGAAGGCCATCACACCGGCTGCGATTTCAATGATGATCAGAACGGTCAGCAGGCCAGAAAACTGAACCCCAGAAAAACAGAAATGTTTATTCAGCACATAAACCTAGTTTATCTCATTCAGAAATAACACTCTATTCCAAGTCTCAGATATGTACGAGGGAAAGAGCCATGACTTTTCCAGCTTCTCATCAGATGAGGTTTGTGTTTTACTGCTTTGGGAACAAGTGAGAGTTTTGTCCTTCTGTACTCTGAATCCTGAAGGTGTGTAACAGCTGTGTTTCGGTGTGAACACGTGTAACTCTGAGTGCGTGTGAGGTGTTTGCAGTGATGATGTTGCTCACCACGCCGAGAGCTGATTTGCTGTTGTTGCAGGCGCCGCAGTCACCGATGATGGCCACCAGCAGCATCAGGACCCCCGTGACCACCAGCACCATCACTCCTGCAGACACACAGAGTCACGGCTAGATATCACGCATCTCAACATGAAGCGATGGTGTCTATTAGATGTCTTTAAGATGTTTATGGTTTCCCAGATAGCACACGTACATCTGCGAGACGTCTGTTAAAGATCTCTCGATCTGGAAAGCATCTGCGGTGTACAAACATCTGGCAGACGTCTGTTTTACATACATTCTAAACCATAAACATCCTGAAGACATCTGATAGGACACGTCCTGTAGACGTATAGCAGATGAGCAAACACTCTAAAAAATACGTCTTGCAGACGTCAAATAGACGTCTCTAAGATGTACGTGAAACTCCACAGACAGAAACAGCAGCAGAACACACCGATGTTGAACTGTGTGGTGCTCAGATCGATGTCGAAGAACCCTCGGGTCTCTGCGCCGAACCGGAGCCACATTCCCAGAGCCACCAGACCGAGCCCCACCAGCTGAAAAACATCCAGCGCAGCTCTAAGAAACACCAGCAGCCGTGCATTCACACTGGAATAAAACACTGGAAAGTTGGCAAGATATTCAGATTCGACTTTTCCGGAACCTCTGTATAAAATGCATTGATCTCAACGCACTGAGAGACAAGTCCCAAGGGACCGTCTGCAAAGTGCGAACAATGTTCCTAATAAACATTCAGTAACTACACAGTAACACGCTGTAGTGTCACCAAACTCAGTTCACACACCGCTGCTCTCCTGCTGAAAAATAATAATAGCTTTTGCATATTTTTAAATATTTAATAACATTAAACGTTGTATTTTCTCCACATCACTGCTTGGTGAAAGTACAGTGTGCTACAGTGAAGTTATTAACCGATTTGTCCAATAACAGTGAATTAAGCTATACCGTTATTAGTTATTGAGTGTTTATTAGGAACATTGTTCGCACTTTGCAGACGGTCCCTTCGGACTTGTCTCTATTGTTTTGAGCAAAACTCGCTTGTAGCTGGTTTTCTACATCACTACGAAAGAAAAGAGGCATCAGCTGTGCAGTAAAAACGTTTTGCTCGAGTTATTGATCCGGAGAAGTCGAATCTGTGAATATCTGGCCGACTTTACCGAGCTTTACTGCGCGGAGACAGAAAGTAGCTCTTTATTTGACTCTGTTCCTGACAGTTATAGCAGGCTTTCACCAGTAAACCCAGGCATACTCACAGCGAACAGAATGTTGAAGAGGATCAGGAAACACTTGCACATCTGTGCGCACCCGTCCATCGCGAGCCGAGCCATTGCACTGCACAAGAGCCAGTCAATAATAACCACACAAGCAATACAGCTTTAACAAGACAGCGACGATACTCCTGTGATGTTTAACCCACTTCTGGCTGACTCACAGTTGTTTGCGGAATAGATGCGCGTAGTGCCGTGCGCAGTAACAAAGAGATCCGACGCGTGCTGCTGCTGCGCTCAAATGCGCTGCTCCTCTCGCGCTCTCATTGGTGCACGGCCCGCGAGTGACGTCATCGGAGGGGCGAACGAAAGGAAACATTTCCGTCCGGTTTTCCTGGAAAACACGCCGCGCTCGAGCTATGCTCCGCCGGGAAGAACATCAGAGAGAAGACACGTCTGTGTTTCAGAAATCACAAGCCCATTTTCATCCATACAGTTACTGAGATGTCCCCATGAAAAACAGACTCGGATTGTGTAAACATCTGTTTGTGTTTTGTGGGTAACTTAAAATAAAGCAGGGGTGTATTCGAGAAAGCAAGGTTCACCCGTTTAATCATGAAAATATCCAAATGATGAGTCATTAGTAACCCTTTGAAATAATCAATAGTTTTTTTTTTTAATTGTACTGAATTATAACATTTCTGCAGTCATAAACATTGTTATATATCTCAGCCCAGCTATTTTAAACTGTTTGATCACATTCTATGCTTACTAGCATGCATTAAAACTCTTATACAACATTGATAGGAATACTGAGATAAAAGACAAAAAAATACAGCGGTTTCAGAATTGTTACTTTTTTGTAACGTGTATCAAGTATTTATATTAGTGCTACCAGTTTAATTCAGTGCAATATTGCAACATTTTAGTGTAATTTTCCATATTAATACTAGACAACAACACCAACACACAGACAATAAAAAAATAAGTTGAGAATTAAAATACACATACGTAAATATAAATATAAATAGACAAAAACAAATTGAAACATAAAATAAGTTGTATATGTACTGTTGTGCTATAGATAATAGAATAGGAATAGAATGAGATGCAGGGATGTACTCGGATGGAGGTGGTAACAAATAAATAGAAGGTTATTGCACATATGTGACCCTGGAGCACAAAACCTGTCATAAGGGTCAGTTTTTGTTAATGTGAATAAATAAATAATAAAGCTGAATAAATAATCTTTCCATTGATGTATGGTTTGTTAGGATAGGACAATATTTGAAAATCTGGAATCTGAGGGTGCAAAATAATCTAAATATTGAGAAAATCATCTTTAAAGTTGTCCAAATGAAGTTCTTAGCAATGCATATTACTAATCAAAAATTAAGTTTTTATATATTTACGGTAGGAGATGTACTAAATATCTTCATGGAACATGATCTTTACTTAATATCCTAATGATTTCTGGCATAAAAGAGAAATTTATAATTTTGACCCATACAATGTATTGTTGGCTAAAAAGTGTGTACACAATTACAGTACACGAATACAGTTCAAGCTAAAGCTGTGGAATGCAAATAGGTCTTCAGCCGTGATTTAAAAACCGTAATGGAAGACGCAGATCTGATGTCCTGAGGTAAGCTATTCCACAGTCTAGGAGCAGCTACAGAAAAAGCTCTCAGACGAGAGGGGGGGACATGCAGGAGTTGTTTATCGGAGGATCTGAGAGTTCGAGATGATTGTTGGTAACTGAGAAGCTCAGCCAGATGGGATGGGGCTACACCATTTAATGCTTTAAATCTTCAAATGGATTCTGTCCTGCACCGGTAACCAATGAAGAGAAGCTAGGACTGGGGAGATGCTTTTTGCCAGTCAGCAACCTCGCGGCTGCATTTGAACCAACCGCAAGCGATACAAGAAAGATTGATTGAGACCCATCTAAAGTGCATCGCAACAGTCTAGTCTGGAGGAAATGAATGCATGGATAATGCATGGTCTCCGTATCCTTAAATGAGAGCATAGGCTTTAATTTGGCTATTTGCCTTAACTGAAAGAAGTTGCTCTTCACCACTGCACTTATCTGTTTTTCAAAATTCAAAGATCACACCCAAGTTTTTAGCAAAAGGATGAATATTTTAAGATCTAGATTACTAGAAATGTCAGAGACAGCACCAGGAGGCCCAAAGGCAACAATCTCAGTTTTGCTCTGATTTAACTGGAGAAAGTTTCTTGCTGTCCAGCATTTGATATCTTTAAAACCCTTGAGAAGTTCATAATAGGAGTTCTCAGAACTAAGAGGGATGTAAATCTGAGTATCGTCAGCATAGCGATGATAGGAAATATTATATTGCCTCATGACAGGACCCAAGGGGAGCATATGCAAACAGAATAAAATAGGACCCAAAAGAGACCCCTGAGGTACCCCACACGTGAATGGTGCGAAAGGAGAGGACGAATTTCCAATCATCACCTTCAATGATCTTTACTAAAAAAAAAAAGAGTACATTCTATATCAGTACTCAATTCAAGCTTGTAGAAATTAAAGTTTGAGCTTATAAGTATATTTTACTTGGAATTGTATGTTATGTTTACAAGGATTCTTTGAGTAAATATCAAAGGTATGATACTGGTGTTTTGCAGCATCATGAGGCATGAATAATTAATATGGTTGGATTTTTCACTATTTCTGAGCTGTGTTTACACTGTTTTATGGTTGCTTTTGTTGTTAGGCTGTTTTGTGACATCTGGAGTACATTTTCTACTCAAAATGGCCCATGCACACTCAAGCACTATCCATTAAATTTACTTATTCTCTTTGTTAATTTTACAAGACTTGGTTAAGTAGATTTAAACCTTATTTCATACTTAAATTTACTTGAAAAATATGTGTGCAAAAAATATGTGCAAAATTACTTAAATTGTACTCTTTTTTTTTTTTCAGTGGAGAAATGTTCTGCTGGATCATACTTTCTGTTCAGGGTCCACAGACAAACCAGCTTGCACTGGGTTTAACTAATTGCTTTCCCGATCATAATGTGGTTCGGTTCAGCAGTGCTGAAACTGATGCTTGTGCATTTCAGAGCGCTTAATTTATGGTGCATCCAGATGTGAAGAGATTGAAGATTGATTTTGAATACATGTAGTTAACGGAGATCTGCCGAATGCATGAATGTGTCTATTGGAGTTCTGGTCTCTAGATTTGCAGTAATGAAGTGAAGCGCTGACTTTCACACAAATGCCTCTGTGATCACTGGGATGAAACTGGTGTGCACTTGTAAAGACGATGGCTCCGTCAGTGCTTGAAACCAGAGGAATCGGTGTTAGTGTGTTAGTGTTAGAGACGCACATAAACACACTGAATCTCTAGTGCTGGTTTGTGTTCATATTTCCCTTAATATCCCACCAGATCAAGATTTGCTGGGTTTAAAGGTTTTAATGTAGTCTTTAATCTTTCATTTATTCATTTTTCCAGTGATAGTGAAGCTGTAAGGGTGGTTTGCTCTGATATCTGCAAAACTACGGCAATCGCTGTGGGTTTGTGTCTGTGCTAAGAGAACATTGTGCTTCTTGCATGTTTTATCACCTTCCAACCAAATGGCGGTTTCAGCTGGTTCTGTTTAAATCCCGTCTGGCTGACGCACTTTAATAACTTGTCCCGTAGTGTCTAAGAACGAAGTCAGCAGGCAGATCAACACAAACACATCTAATAGCAGAGCCCCAAGAAGAAGAGCCAAAGAAAAGCCCAGAGCAGTTATCTGTTAATCCCTTCCTTGTGACGCAAAAGCCGTCAGGAACTCAAACCAGCCTTTTGGCAAGAAACAGTCTTGGAAGAGGAAAACACATGGCTTTGTTGATGTTCAATTCTAAGTCTAGCGGCCTGTGATTCTGGTCAGCTCTAGTCTCTGTTCTCCAGTTTCGTCAGCTCACCAGAATCACCAGTTCTTTATAGTTTCCAGTTGTGTTTTGTTATAGTCCGTAAACTGGCTGACTTCTGAATTATTGTCAGTGGATGTTTCAGATCAGAGCACAAGCGGAGTGAGAGAGAGAGACTGGTTATTATTCACTATTCAGCTCTGATATCTGATAGATGGAAGCTTGACAGAAAAACAGACAGTTTAACACGGAAGGACTGGTGAATGTGCTTTCTGAATGATTTATTACAGTTATTACAGAAACACAACGGCTCTGCTCATGTCTTCATTGAGTGCGTTTACATGGACAACGATATTCCGATTTTAACACGATTAAAGGGGTCATATGATGTTGCTAAAAAGAACATTATTTTTGTGTATTTGGTGTAATGAAATGTGTTTATGCGGTTTAAAGTAAAAAAAAACACATTATTTTCCACATACTGTACATTATTGTTTCTCCTCTATGCCCCGCCTTTCTGAAACACGTGATTTTTACAAAGCTCATCGGTGTGAAAAGCGAGGTGTGCTGTGATTGGCCAGCTATCCAGTGCGTTGTGATTGGCTGAATACCTCAAGTGTGTGACGGAAATGTTACGCCCCTCACATACTGTGTTGATGCCCTGTCCGGCCGGAGCGACGAGACAAAAACATTAAAACCCATTACAAACGAGGCATTCGTTGCATCCAGTGAGACATAATTACTGATTATAATGACTTATATACAATCATGGCCTAGACTGAGTGTTTGGGGCGGTCCTTATCTCTGGGTCAGGTGAGGAGGAGAACCAATCAGCCTCCAGCAAATCATGTGAAACACAAACACACACATACACAGAGAGAACACAAGAGGGCGGAATGCAAACAACGAACAAATGACCTCGGCTCGTAGCATGCTTCACGTTTTCCTTTTTTATTAATATTATTATTATTATTGCAAATTGTACATAACAAGACTGGGAACATTCAACGAATATAAGGCACATCCACCATAACTAATATGAATAATCAACAAATGATAATTGTCTTCACGTTTTTCCTTTGATTTGTTTGTGAAGGAATGTAAGCTACAAACACAAAACTTCACTTGGTTCTCTTTTTCAGGCAAACGATGATCTGGATTAATGTGTTGTAATGATTAGCACTGCTCGTTTGCTCACTCCTGAACTCTGACCTCTGATGAAACACACGGGACCGCGACGGCTTTGTGGAACTTTCTTTAATGTATCTCAGTAAGAAACAAACGTGAAACATGCAGATTTGAATCATACAGCAAGACAGTGAAATATTCAGGACCAGATGGTAGCAGCGTAACATTGTCGCGCAGAATTCAGCACTGAAGAAATGAGTATACGATCCACAACATTAATGCAGTAAAACCAAAAGTCTAAACAGCATGTAGTTTTATCATGTTTATGAGTGACTCGTGCTGATTAATGAAATGAAGCATTACAAACTACAGCAGAACAATGTGAAACTCAATCAACTTTAATTCGCCTCGGGTTAGATCGAAGAATTGAGCAGGAATTTTGAAGCGATTCGGTTCATCTCTAGATGAGTGACACACACACACACACACACACACACACACACACACAGGTGTGTTTCCCTTGACCTTTTGAAGTCATCCGTCCATCAGACAGACAGACAGACAGACGAGTGGAGGCTCAGTAGATGGGTGGAGAAGAGTAGTAAGACGGCTTGAGGCTACTGTAGAGCACAGAGCTGCAGACGAGCGCCACCACCTGTCGAGCAGAGACACACACAGAGACAGAGACAGAGACTGGGGTTATATGATGAGCTGGGTGTCTGAAGGAGTTATAGCCATTTATTACAATATTCATAACATAACATCGCCTAGCTACGCGATCTAAGACATAAATCCCAGTGCTTTATCCGATAGGCACCGCTGTTTCATCCTTGTTTTTGGTTTGTTTTATGTCAGAGTGCTCAGTCGTGTGTTTTTCTGGGCTTTTTCAGAGAGTGCTCTCATGCAAATGTGTTATTGTGTGTTTGTTTTCATGCACGCAGGACAGACTTTACTTTCACTTTGCATTTGTTCCAACTTCCACTGAAAAATCCTAAATGGTGGTTATGATACCTGTTTCTGATGCAGAAAAGCTAGTTCATGCATTCATGACCTCTAGACTGGACTAT